TCGATGGCCAAACATTGTTCGCTATAAGGATGAATATAAAAAATTCATTTTAATTGACTTTGATTACGCAACATTTGACAAGGGAAAAAAAAGGCATCACAAAAAAAGCTCTAAAAGAAATTTCAGAAACCGATCATGCTCCTGAGATGCAAATTGGAAAACATGATGTGAAGGTTGACATGTGGGGTGTTGGATTTTTAATTAATTCATCTGAAATAAATAATATTGATTCAGAACTTAAAAGTTTTGCAAGAAGGTTGTGTGATGATGCTCCAAAAAGACGACCAAATGCTTTAGATGTATATGGTGAGGCAATAAAGATATTTAAGGTGATTGTTTATAATATACTCGTTTTGTTTATTTGTAATACAATTTAACAAGTTTTAAAATTTCAGGAGTTTCCGAATGATAAATGGCTGGAAAAAGTTGAAACCGACAATGTGTTAGATTAGCTTTTGCAAGAAGGTTGTGTGATGATGCTCCAAAAAGACGACCAAATGCTTTAGATGCATATGGTGAGGCAAAATTCGTTTCGAGCGCAAAGAGACATGATGTGTTGAGTCGAGCCAACACCTTGGTTCTGGCAGCGACCGCCGAAGCGATAAAGAAATTGAGGAGAGTTGAGAGAATTTCCTTTGAATGCGATTACGCTCCGCAGTTTTTGACGGTTGAAGAGCACGTCACTGCGTTGGACAGACCTGTACTATCGGCTAGTTATGAGGATTTCGACTTCCGTTTTGGGCATCGGGAAACTTACAAGTTGATTATAGCCCCCGAGACGGTGATGGGTAGATTCAAAGCCCTTATGACTCGTCGTTTTGTTAAGTCCAGTAGCAGCAAATCTGGAGATTGCGTGGAGAATGTTGAAGATGAAGCGATAATACCGATGAATGCCTGGTGGCTAGTCACATTGTAATCTTCATATGAATTTTTGATGGTTCACTTTGCATCTTACCTCGTCATTAAATTTATATATGTAAATTAGACTAGTAAGCAAAGTTGTACAAGACTACACTATAGCACAATTAAATAAATTGATTACATAGCTAAGACTTGACATGAAGTCAGCTATTTAGTTATAGAATCAGTATATCAATTTTGTAACAAAAGAAGTGAAATTAGTATAATAATTAATTATTTTTAAGCCAATCATTTGAGGCTTGCTAAGCCACACATGTTTGCGCCCGGAGAAATTGGGGAGGGGTAATTTGTAATTTGGCAGTTCAAATAAAATGCCAATAAACGACATTACTAACTACGCGTCAATCAAAGAAATCAAATACCTGACAATACCACCTTCATACAACCAGTTTTTAAAAGACTACTTGTTTCCAAATGTACCACTGTTAATTGGGCCAGAGTTGACTGCTAGCTGGCGTGTGAGAAAAGAATGGGTAGTTGAAGATAAAAAAGATATGGAAAAGGAAGAAGTAATATTTTGTATTGATTATACGTGTTTTTTTCTAACGGCTAAATAACTATAATAATAATATCATCGTAAAGAAACATGGGATCCCAAACTTTGAATTTCTTATTTCCAAGTTCGGAGATGCGCAAGTATGTGTAGCTGATTGCTCGCAACGATATTTCACGGATCAAGTCAGATCGACTATGTTATTTAGAGATTTTGTTGATAAATGGAGAAAAGGGCGAAGAGACGAAGAAGGAACATTGTCTCCTTCTGACCCTGAAACAAAAAAGTCATTGCTATATTTGAAAGACTGGCACTTCGTAAAGGCTTTCCCTGAATACGATGCGTATGAAATTCCATCGATTTTCAAAGGTATGATTAATGAATGATTTTCTGTGAATATTATTAGTTTCTAAACTTATTTGGCATTTTCTAATCATAGCAAATTATGTTCACTTACATATTATACAAATATATTCATGAAAGACGACTGGATGAATGAATTCTGGTTATCACACACAAACGATGACTACCGTTTTGTATACATGGGCGGAGACCGAACATTCACTCCACTACATTGTGACGTTTACCATTCCTATTCATGGTCATCAAACATTTGCGGAACAAAGAAATGGACACTATTTCCACCGGGTCAAGAATCCTTGTTCAAAGATAACTTAGGAAACATGATATATGATGTACGTCATCATATTGACGAAGATCACGATCTTAATATAAATAACGAAGAGAAGGACATCATATCAAAAAATCAATTTCCAAATTTTAAAAAAGCACATCGAATAATAGTTTGCCAGAATGCTGGCGAGACGCTTTTTGTTCCGTCCTCATGGTATCACATGGTCGAGAATATTGGTGACTGTATCTCGATAAATCACAATTGGGCTCAGTCTACTGCTTTTCCGTTTTTGTATGAATCGCTGAATACGGATCTGGCAGAAGTCGAGTACGCAATACGTGATTTGAAAAGTGAGATGAGTGAATTGGAATTTGTCGAGTCTTGTCAACGGTTATTGCTGATCAATTCAGGATGGGATTGGATTGTGTTTTGGAGATTGATTTCTTGTGTTTCTCGTAGACTGATAAAAATTTACCACGATATCCATGAGAATAATAGTAAGACAGTGACAACCGAAAAGCAACGTTGTGATAATCAGTCATGGGAAATACCACCACTTTCATTACAACCACCTCTCGTATTCATTTTTCAAATTTTGCATAATGTGATTCATGATTATTTAGACCAACCGCTTGTCAGGCAGTATCTAACTGAACAATTCAGATCTGAGCAAAATGAAGAAAAAGCATTTGGTATAGTGCACGAAATCGATGAAATATATTCGAAATTAAAATAATCGATCTTTGATATTGTTTACTTGTTTTTTCCCTCTTCGTCTATTCCTATTTCTCTGGAAGGTTATTGCTTAAAGCGTTTGTGTTATTAGAATTTGTGGTTATTGATTTTTGAAAAGATGTATTTTAATTAAAGATCAAGCAACAGATACAACTTTTCAATTCTATTTGACCATCGATACACTCTGGTATCTTGTTAATAATACAATTATAAGCGAAATCAAATCATCAATGATCTATCTAAATAATGCAATAGATGTAAGACAAACCAGCGGTTCCTAATATAAAATAATTTTTACCGTTAATAAAATAAATAAAGCCGTCATAATAATGATTATGATTATAAAGATAATGAAAATCAGGCATTTCTAAGCAAAGAATGTTTTTCTTTAATTGCACAAGAGGGCAAGGGTGGGTTCTACCTAGTTAAAGGCTTCCTTTGCGTACTCTTGGCGTAAGATGAAGAAATTATCATCATTTTTTTTGCAAATCAATTGTAAAGTGAAATTGAAACGTACCTTTGTTATAATAGTAATGGTGGTGAATGCTTGGGAAATAGAAAATTAGTGGTATTATTTGATGCTGAGTAATAAAAGGTTTGCCACATGACTTTTATTATGTGAAAGAATCATTCGACTTCAAAAAGAGACAGAACCAGAACAAAACAAATTTGCTAAAATACAACAATAAAAATAATACAAACATTTGCGCGCGCAGAAACGGAACGACGCATTGTTCATTGACTCCTATTAGTATAATAAATAAGAGCGTCTCGTTGATTGGCTGTTGGTGGGATGGTGGTGATGATAGTAGTTCCCTTTACTTCCATAGTTTTCGCAGACTTTCATTTTGCTCTTCGCCTTTCTTCATAACTTTAGCAACGGCCATTTCAAAATCTTCTTGTGTGACGTGCACACGTCGTTCTCGTAGCGCGTACATACCAGCTTCTGTACACACCGCCTAATTGTTAAAGTTTATTTCGAGAATATTAATTAGTTTTTTGTGGATTAATAATTAAGTAACAAACAAACAAACAAAAATTATAATTTAGTTAGTTGGTTAATTAATTACTTTGACTTCGGCACCGCTAGACCCAGTCATTTTCTCGGCGATTTTACGTAAATTGATACCACGAGTTAAGTTCATTTTACGTGAGTGGATTTTTAAGATGTCGGCTCGTGCCTATTGCAAAGGTAAAATTGAAATTAAGAATCATATTCATTTATTATAAATATGAAGAAAATAACTCACAATTTCAGATGGTGGCGGGAACTCAATTTTTCTATCAATACGACCGGGTCTCAGCAGTGCAGGATCGAGAATATCAATACGATTAGTTGCCATAATAACCTACACGCACAAATATTTATACAATACCATAAACAATCATATTCATGTATACATGTATATCTTTACTCAATAATAGTTATGATCAATACCTTGATATTCTTTGTAGGTTCGAATCCGTCCAATTGATTCAATAACTCCAACATTGTTCGTTGCACTTCAGAGTCTCCGCCTCCCGAGCCAGACTCTATACGTGACGACCCGATAGAATCAATTTCATCCATAAATATAATGGATGGCGCATGTTCTCTAATTACGTTCAATTCGCATTATCAAACCAATTAACAATAATCATCAATAAAAAATTATAGCAAGAATTTTAAATAATTATACCTTGCCATAACAAACAATTCTCTCACCATCCGACTTCCCTCTCCGATGTACTTTTGCACCAATTCTGAACCCGACACACGAATGAACTTACAATCGGTGTGATGAGCGACGGCACGTGCCAGTAGGGTTTTACCTGTCCCCGGAGGTCCATAAAGTAGAACTCCCTAATACAAAAAACCAACAAAAGTAGTCGGTTTTAATAATCAAGAGATCTTGTGTGCAAAAAAATCCTAAGTGTATATATATGTTGAACATGGATATGGAGTCTACATGGATTCAGAATCCTTTGGGCAACACTAATCTTATCTCCAAGCGTTAACTCTTACCCTTACTCTAACTCAAATTTAAGCTTGCCGTCCATAATTGTTTTTGCAATGTTGCAACCTATATGTTTTAATTGTTGTAACGTTGCAACCTATATGTTGTAATAATTACGGCCAGCAAGCTTAGTGACTCGAATCATACCCCTATCCTAATTCTGAATCCATTTAAATTCCGTTCCCATGTACAACATATAGAGCAGTGCATCAGAAATATACCTTTGGCTGTGCAATTCCCAAACTTTCAAATAACTCAGGATGCTTCACCGGTAACTCAATAACCTCTTTTATCTCCTTAATTTGCTTATCCAATCCACCAACCATCTCGTACGTCGAATCAGGCACTTTCTCGACCATCATTAACGAGACGAGCGGGTCGACTTTGTTTGGCAGTATTTTGTGGAGGGTGTACGAGTCATTACGCAGTGCGACTCGACATGTTGGTGTTATGTGGACAATATCAATGTCGGGAGCTATATCTACTACGTATTTTCCTTCGGGATGAACCTATGCAGACAAGATACAGACACACATATTAACTTAAACCTGATATTTTTATTATCGGATCGTAATAATTTCGAGATCGTCATCGTACCTTTACAAGAACTTTGTTTTTACCCATTAATTTTACCACTTCTCCCACATAGGACCCGGGTTCTTGTAATAGTTGCAGTTCTTCACGTAATAACCGAACTTTAAAAAATTTTTTTTGAGACTCCATGAAAAGTTGCACACTTATTGTGTTACTCGGATACTTGTCTGTAATTATTAATTAATTAGTAAAGTTACTCACCTTTTGCATTCAGTGCATTTCGTTGAGCTTCAAGTCGCCGTAAATTCTGTGTTCTTTCATTGATTAGTAGTTCGGCTTCTTCTATTTTTGTCTGATAGTAATTTTTTATCCCTTCTTTTCCCATGTTTGGTTTGCCAATTATTCAACTTGGCGCGCAAAAGAAAAATTGAAGTTGTAGGTATGCAACAAACGCAATGACGTAACATCATCCAATCAAAAAGGGTTCTAATAAAATCTAAAGTGCATACATGTATTATTATTTGGTTCAAAGTTTCCCGTTTTATTCGCAAATTAATAAAATAAAACCCTATTCCCTCATTACCTTCAACACATAACACACACAACACACACAACTCATTTACTTTCCTTGTCCAAAGGCCAACTAACCTTTGTTTCCCTTTTCCTAACTTTTGTCTTTCTCTTTATAAAATTCCCTTTTGTGCAAGCATTTACTTAATTTTGATAGTTGGGTATTTATTTGTTTATCTATCTACTCTATATATTAGAGTTGAATAGCAAAACAAACACTCTATATTATTGCTGCTGTTGTTTTAATTGTAGTTAGCCATTTAGTCATTTGTCATTTAAACAATAGTTTGCAATTATTCAATAAGAGTCAATTACTTATCACTAATACGAAAAAAAAAGTAGAAATAAAACATGGTCAACCGTCAGGCACTACAATTGACCTCACTCCCAACCGAGATTCTCTTTCTCGTTGTCTTTTCCATCGACAATGCCAAAGACTTACGCTCCCTTGCCTCCACCAACCATTACTTTCGTGACCTTGCCGGTCCACACACCGTAACCGCACAACTATGGTTCACAAAGGTAAGTCGAGACATAGCCCCAGAGGACCTCCTACGAACCGCCAACGAGTGGGGCTTCCCACTAACAACCGACTACGCGAAAAATCTCATAATGGTGAACGCGCCGAGCGAACCTTCTTACTTATGTGCAGAACCACCTGGTCCGCGACGAGCACTTCAACGAATAGAACGCGTCCTGCACGTGGTTGAAAGGTTCGGGCTGTTTCTACAAAATACGCTCGCAGTCAATTATTATTATCCACATGATTGGGATGCGTATCAACGTGTTGCGGATGAAGTGGAACAGTATTTGGAGGATTTGGGCTGGGTGCAATTTTATCGTGGGCAAATGCATCGTGGGATCGATTCGATGATTGTGTCGACTGTTGAAACGGATATCGAGTTTGAGGCAGTTGCGTTTGAGGCTTTTGCGAAAAAATTGAGAGAGGAAATTGCGGTGATGTCTACAATTACAGTTGCTAGTCCGAAAAAGTCTAGTAATAGTAGTGGTAATAGGCAAGATGATGTTGACAACAGCAGTAACAATAATGAACTTTTTGCATCTGAAGCAAGCGAAGAAATTTATTTGAAATGGACAAGTCTTATACAAGATCAATTGAATTTCTTCTCGATGGAACAATACATAATGGATAAATTTAAACCACCTTCGAAATGGCAACTAGCTGAATATTTAACGGCAGTTGTTGCCGGGTTAGCAGAACGAGGGGACAATGATAATGTTAGGTCGACTAACGTTGCCTCTCGAGGAGATAGGTCGATTAACGTTGCCTCTCGAGGAGATAGGTCTACCAACGTTGCCCCTGCCAATGGTGGAACAATATAACAATAAATACTTATTGTTCTTTTTTTCAAAATCTTTCCTCTTTTGTGCTGTACACTTTTCCCAACTACCAATTAACAAATCAAAACAATCAAAACAAAAACACTTTCCAATTCCTACGCATTACTAATATTCCTCTTTTCTTTTCTCTCAACGTCATTAAATACCATTGTCATTTATTTTCGCCTTTATATCAACCCTGCGGATTTTCCCTCCCCAAAAAAAGCGAAAAGAAATTGAAAAAAAATATTTCAAAGAGAAAAAGGAATCAAAGGATATAAAAAACCAAAAAAATCATATTAGACAATACATAGTACATATTACACTAACCATTTCGTATATAATCATCCACCACTATATACTATATATGAGTAACGACGACAGGTATCATTAGATTGCTACCAATAACATGATGATCACGACAGCAAAGACAACATATCAAGTATATAGCTCTCCTTTTTTCTTCCCCTTAGTAATTATTACTCTATACACACTTATACTATATAAATATTACCTATTCTTTTTGAGTAATAATTACACTAACAATGAATTTAATGTTTACTTTCTTATGTATATTTTTTCGGCCTTTTTGTGTGTGATTTAACAACCTACCCATCTGCTGTGTGTGACTACGCATTTTCTCCTTTTTTTTTTAAATTTTTTTTGTCATATATATTATTTTTTTTGTAAAAATAATCATTTATTATTAAATAAAAAAGAGAAAATTACCCAAACTAATACAAAAAATAATCGGTGTCACAATTGTCGATTATATTATAACTTGTTATTTTACTATAAATAATAATATTTCTTTTGTTTAATAAATAGAAAGGTAATGCATTCTACTTTATCGTCAAAGATACTTATTTATAAAATTGAACGATTGGTCGATCCAGCGACTACAAATCCAGCCTTACGAAAATGATCCTCCAACCCCGCGTTGTATCGTTCTGCTTGTTCGGTCGGCAGGCCGTGTCCGCTACCTATAATTTAAAGTTAATTTGATTTTTGACTAGATTCTAGTAATTCAACAATTCTCAGCTAAGGAAACCAGAATAAGACAACATTATACAAAGAATATCAGGAGAAAAAAAACAACATACCTTCAAACACATGAAAATCAGCATTCAATTGATCTTTCAAAAAATAACTGTTCTTCGGTTTGACCAAATTATCCCAGGTACCAGTGTTGACTAGTATTCGGGGGATGTTCTCGCGGATATGAAGTAGACGTTCACGTGATACTCTGTGTGTTAGTATGGCGACTATTTGGCCCACTGTTCCTTTTTGTTTCATAACAAAATTAATTTTATATTATTTGTTAAATGCAAATGGATAATGTCATACTTTTTACATTAATAACAACGATAGAGATGTCTAATTGAATTTACCAGTTAACGTTGCGGATTTCGTGATCATAATCCGTTGCCTTAATAACTAAAAAAAACCAAAAGATTAAAATTCAATATAGTTAAATTCAAATTTTATTGATATAAACTTACATCATATAAATACTCATTATTAGTTGCATACGACGAGTTACTTGGCGCAGGAGAAGTTAACCAAGGCTACTTGTTAATTGGATTTTTGTTTAACATGTAAAACAGTTTGATAAAACCAAAAATAAGATTATAATAAAAATACCTTTGGAAAAATTAGATCAACAAATATTGGAATTTTTTTTTGCCGATCTCTAATAAACATCATCTTCAGAATAGTTAAAGCGCCCACAATCTATAAAAAAATAAATAACAAGTCAAAAAAAAAAAATAAAAAGAGAATAAAGAAAATAAAAATACAAACAGGCGGAAAACTTCCAGCATGCGTAGAAGTAAGACACAGCGACTGAAAATACTCTGGTTTTGCATATGACATTTCCTGAGCGATCATCCCGCCCATCGAAATACCGACAAGATGCACTTTTGTCGTCCAGCCCAGGTGATTCAAGAGGTCGAATGTATCGTGGGCCATTTGTGATGTGCTTTTGTTAAAAAATAAATTGTGAATTTAATGTGATAAATTTTAATCGTGTAATTGTGTAAATTTTTTATACCTATAAAATCCTCGCGTTGTATCTTTGTTGTTAACATTATTTAGATTTTGCGATTCAATAATTGGATTTGACATAATTAGAAAATTAATCCAAGTATTAAAAAATATTTTGGTTTACCACTCCATCCTATTCCTCGATTATCAAATACGCAAATTTGGTAATTTTTATGTGACCCAAAGTATTTGACCTTTATAAATAAATAAGAACATTTAATTGAATGCCATGCCTGAACATGTGTAAATATAAAAAATTAATTTTTTACTTGCTGATCCCAGGCAGTGCAATTCATCATAAGTCCTTCAAAAAATAAAAGTTTAATATTTATTATTTAAATTACTTATTCCAATCATTTTTATTTTTATTAAACCATGAATTCGAACTATATCATTACCCGTAATAAATAAAATCTTATTTGGCCCATTTCCATGAACCTCATAATATATCTTTACGGGATTCTTCTCTCTCTGTCTTGCCACTTCGACATGTCCTTTTTCTACGAGAGTTGATGTCATCGAAATAATTTAATATTTAATGACGAATATTAGATTAGATAATACTGCTAAAACTCAAAATAAGATAAATTAATAATTTCCTAATATGGTTTAGTGATTGGACTCACACTCGAGTTGATTCGAGTCAAACTTGACTCGAGTCATAATACAGTGACGAAAATTAACTTACTATATAGGATTTTTATTTCCATGACTATTACATAGTTCGAACAAAATAAAAAATTGTTCATTTGAAACCTTGAAACCACTAATTTAGCAACAGATTATTTTGTGAAATAAAGTGATTTAAATCAAAATTTACAATTAGTAGATTTCTCACATTGAA